GCGGCGGGGGCGGCTGCGGCGGCGGCCCGGCGCCGGCCCCCTCCGCCGCCGCCGCCGCCGCTGCCGTGGTCGGCTCGCCGCTCTCGTCCACGTGGATGACGCGCTGGCCGACAATGATGGTCTGGATGCGGAGCGGCCGGTCGGCGACGCGGGTGGTCCACCAGGCGAGGCAGGCGACCACCGCCAGCAGCGCCAGCACGAAGAACAGCGTCACCTCGTCGCCGACACCCTCGATCAGTGTCATGGCCATGACTGGTGATGGCCAGTGGTGACCTGGGAAGAGAGGTAAATCATGTTACAGTACCTGAGACAACACAGCTTTGAATAAATTGATGACTTTGGCTGTTCTTCAGCTAACCAAAGTCCAAAGATGCATATTTTATAACATGCACTGCTTCACACTGTACAAAGAAGTGTAAGCTGATTAGGCATACACAAAAATATGTTGAAAATGCATTGGCTATGGATCCTGCAATCATCTGCATGAAAGGGATACACCACTCCCAAGTCCCACAGCTCTCTACTGCACAGAGTCAAAGAAGTCAGTGTGCCACTGCCACCATCAAAAGGTCCAGCATATTGACTCTCCTCATACTCAACTGGAACTGGGGCTTGCCCTCACACCACTGACCACAGCACAAATAATTTATCATAGGTAGTAGGTACCAATGCATCAATCACCATGAATCAAGATATATTTTCACTTGACATAACAACTAACAAACCAACATGTGTATTGAGGTACTTATTAACACCAGCCAAGGTACTTATCAATTTTGATATCACTTCAATCACAACAGCTTTGTGATCACAACACAACAGCAATTAGTTGTGACCAATCACAATTTGTTGCTCACAACACAACAAATTGCTCACAACAAATTGCTGCAAAACGTGTACCTAACAGAAACAAGGCTTTCTGCTTGTTCCAAAGATCATTCTGTTAATAAATGTCAAGGTCACCAGCTCAGCAATGGCCATGTGAATCACACGATATCAGGGTGATCTGTCTCAATCTCTATTAATGCAATTTAAAGAAGTTCTACAGTTGGTGACATACCAGGGAAATAAGCTAAAATTAGAGTGCTCTATTTATTGCTCCTGCCCCATGTTGAAGAGATACCCCTAAAAGCGTGATCTTTTATCGGCCCTTACGCAGCAAGGCAGTACTTCTCAGGCCGGTGGATGGTATCAATAGAAAGAGAATGCGTCAAAGATTAACATGAATTAATTAAAATAACATCAAAATGTTAATTAAGCGTGGAAATTAGTCCCAAACTTAAGCTAATTATTGCTCCTACCTCGGCGACGGCGCTCCCCGCAGTCAGCGGAGAAGCTAAAATAAAAGCCACCATCCTCCTCCGTAAGTCAATTTTAGAGCGGCCGAGTGGGCCGATGCGGGGCCACCAAACTGAGGTGAGACGTGGCTAGCAATTGCGAACTGCCATAGAAATCAATATCTTAAGACGTACAATATGGGATGATTACTCTGAAGCAGGAGTGAAAGCATAGCATGAGTAGCTAGCAAGAAACGAAATGCATAGATTGGTTGAATTATGTACAATAGGCACAGCTCAGATGAAGCCATTTCTTTGATGTTGACATTTGACATAACCCTTTCTCTCCTCACCTACGACCTAAGTACGTTGGCAGTTACCGGCATAGTTTTTTTTTTAGCACGAGTGTAATTCGCCATCGGACCGCAATGCATGTTGCTAGGCTGCTGCAATTACAACGAACATACGAATACTGCCTTCATTTGTAGACGTTTGTTTTTTAGGCGGTCTTTGACGTACAAGGGGGCATACCTGTCGACAACTTGAGTTTCTCCGAATTTCAAAAACTCCCAGAATTCCAATTCCTTATGCACTGTTGTAGGTACAGCTATGTTCACAAGTTTTCGTTTCCTCCTGCTCTAAAAAGGATGATATTTGTCGATTTCGTGCGTCGCTGATAGAAGGGTGCGTTTAATAATTAGGCCCAACGCTTTCTGCATCCGCGAGTACCTTGAAAAGGGAACAACAGTTTCCATTTATTACACTATGGGACAAGTGACAAAATGACCACCGCAACACGCATGAAACGGAGCTCATATTCCTAAAAATGTCTACAATCACTTCTTTTCTGACACTATTAGCAAATACCATCTCAAGTTAGGTGGTTGACAGACAGTCAATGGAGATCTGGGGAGACTGAGTGATGCCAATTCACCACTTAACTGATAATGAGGGCCGAGGGAAGAGAAACATGCAACATGCACAACTGACAACTTGACAAGTGACAAAACACTACCACTATTGCGCATTGCACAACAAATTACAGCAGCCAGCCCAAAAATGCTTTTGGTGGCTAATTGCAGAACAAGTCACTAATAAATGTCTTAGTTGCAGCTGAACACTGCACAATGATCACACTGTTCACACATTGAGTGAGATGCCACAGGTGGTTTGAATCACACTTTGGTACAACTGCAAATCTGAAGTGTTGTCATGAGGTTCATGCCTCCATGATCACAGCACTTTGGTTGTGGTTGGCATAACACTTGTAGTCTGCAGAGTTCCACATGAACTGCAGACACCTCATCTGGTGGTCTTCATGTTGCTCAACTTCTTCAGGAGGCAAATGTCGACCACCCAGCGGAAGCATGGTCCTGCAGAAAAGAAAGGTAATGCATAAGGTACAAACATTATCTGCTGAAACAGCCCCTTCTGTTTGCTGTTATTAAACTTTTAACATAACATAACAACATGTATTCCATGTATATTACATTTGTTGAAGTAAAATACTGCCCGCTATTTCAAAACCAGAATATGAAATTATATTGTGGCATAATTCACATGCTCAGCTATCAGTATAATTAATTTAAAATTTGGCATATTCTATATAACACATTCATAGAATGTTCTACTTCACGTCACAAGGACTCACAATCTTTCTGTTGGGTGTTTGATTGACGCATTAACTAGGTTTGTCTTAGGTTTTATTATTGCAAAAAATTCATATTGCATTATTGTATCAAAATACTGCCAGCAATAACAAAACAAGAACATGAAATGTCAATGAGCAAGCCGCCTTTCCTAAAAATGGATTACTTTGAAAAGAATTTTAGTTTCTTTTAAGGAAAAGGAGAAATGATTATCAGGTTATTATCAAAAACCACTCAACCAGCAAGTGGCTGGGTGGTTTCACAGCAAACATCAAGCCAAAACATATGCTTACATTTATCTAACAATTGAGTCATTTGACTACACAAGGATATGTGAGCAAAATAAGAATCCAATCATCCAATGTTGACTTCCTTGCAAAGTTTATGCCTTATTTTATGAAAATGTGTCACTAGAATATGATACTTATCATCGAATATTATTTAATTTACGATTTATTTCGATCGGAACGCACATGGGGTCCCGCGCCATTTTCGTCGACGATAAATATGATCGTGTTTCATGAAGAGATAAGGGGTTTCAATGGTCTTTCAAAGCAATAATTTGATGCAAAAATTTGTAGGAAATAATATAAAGCTGGTTCAAATGGCCATCAACCATTTAAAACACCGAAAATACTCACAACTCCGTCCCGACGACCACGCAGCACCGCGCACGCCACACTACTGGCACAATGCCAAAACTGCCGTCACAGCAGAAATGTTTTTTTTTTCTCGATTGCAATTGTGGAATTATTTATTAAACAGAAGATTATCTTTCCGAAAAACCGACTGATTTCATACACAGATGCATGGAAAATAAAAAAAATCCCGGTAAGTTTATTTGTATCGTTTTGTCGATTTTGACATGCTCCTAGTTTGCAGCCATATTTCGATATGTTCTACAGGGAGTTCAGAATTATTTCAGGACCAATCTTTTCCTAATTCATTTTCCCGTCGATCATGAAATTTTTAGAGCGGAACAATTAGTTTCCAGGCGGTCCGAGCGGTTTTCGTGAGAAGGGTGCAAAAATCGGCGTCATTTTTAGAGCCTCGACACCAGCTCAACACAGGACCCTATGGGAGACGGTGAAGTAGCGGGAGCAATAAATAGAGCGCTCTAATTTTAGCTTATTTCCCTGGTGTGTCACCGACTGTCTAACCTCGGTAAAATCTTAGCTAATTACCACTTCAACTTGTTGACCTTTAGCTAAGATTATAATTGCTTAGCCTCTACTTTATTTCTTTATGTTGAGAAGTTTCACAACAATCTGGAGAAATATTAATCCTGCAATCTTCAAAATATTATGACAGCTTCTATTTACCTAGGCACCCAACTTGACTTTTGGTGTCACTGAATCCATAATCTTCTTCAAACTTAAACTTTGCAACCTTTTCCCTGGTGCTCAGTTTGCACCATGCCTCTTGACTTCAGCACAAGCGTATCACATTTTCAACATTCACAATAATTTTTAATTCAATTCTTGATGAATAATAATAATGTAGAAAATAGGAAAATACACACGTAAAATACACACCCTCTTTCGTCTGCGACACGTCTACTTTATCGTTCAGGGTTCAAGGTATTAGTGAGTGTCATTTTTCTTATGCTTTTACATAATACTATGACGTCATACCTACATAAATAAGGACTTATTTCAATATTTCTACAATATGTTGTGATTTTAAATACAAAAGAGTCATATACAGCAATGAAAAATGAAATGCGTTTCAATATAACCACAAATTGAGTGTCCAAACCAAAAGAAAGCCCAACAAGCAAGCATAAATCATTCTTTAAAATGCAAGCTGCTGCTGCAGTCAGTCAAGCTTCCATTAGTCATGCGTTGCCATTTGCTGTCAGAAAATGATAGATTTTGCAACGCTTTTTTCATAATGATTGATTTGTGACATAGATGTCTGTTATGAAGTTTTTGATCCAGAAAGGGAATAGTTTTTAAGTCCTATGACGTCATTTGTGGATACAAAAAAAGAAAGAAGAGAATATTGCAATGTTTTCTTTTGTCACAATAGCGCCAGAAATGTACTAACACATCAAAATACGCATGGCCTTGGGGGTCGGTGATTGAAGTGAATGAAGCGTTTTCAGTTTTGTGTGGGCAGTGGGATGGGAGAATTGTTGCAAGTGGGTGTGATAATTTTGTAACTGAGCTTGTGATTTGTGTATATTTCCAGCGTTTTCATTTTTGAAGGATTTTTCACGGTCTATCCAGCTCTGAAGGAGCACTGTTTCATCTCAAATCTCAATCTAAATCTTCCAGCTCGAGCTCTGACTTAGTCTGAAGGAGGCCTATTGTTATCTTTTCTGAATTGGTCGGTATGCTGGTCTCAGTATAAGCCAGCTTGAAAATAAACTGACCAGGAACAGACTTTTCAATTTCTGAGGAAACTTTTTGCAAGTGAAACCATTAGGTACTGTAACAGTACTCAGCATGGCAAGCCGGGATACATTTGTACACTTGTTTGCTGGCGGGTAAGTCTTTACTTCATTTGTTTGAGTCACACCATACATTATCCACAACTGGCCAACCCTATGATGCACCTTGGATGAGCTGCAGTATTTGGTGGGGATGACTGTTGGTATTAATAATAATTCAATGGTATTTTCACCTAGAGGAATTCTTTTTTAACTTTAAAGTGACTGATAACCCTGTAGCTCATTGTCCAACTGCAAACTTGACTTGGCAGTTGGCAAAATAAATGTTGTATGGTGTTAAATGCAATCTTCAAATACCAATGATAAGATGATAAATCCATGGTCTTCTACCCTTTTTGCATGTGTTTGTTACACTTTTATCAGAATTGCTTGAATAAATCTGCTTTCTCTTTTGTTAAAAAGTTACCATATTATACAGTCCATTTTGTGCAACATTATGTCCTGATTTCCTAAGTTTGAGGATATTCATTGTTAGCTTTTCTGATTCATTGCCCCTTCATGTGCCACTGAATGCTGTCATGCGTGTCTTCTCCTGCCTATGATCCCCAATAACCGGTACGTCTCCCGCCCACTGCCGGGGGTCGGTGGCGCTGACCGCCGCGGTCTGTCGCCGCCAGGATGGGCGGCACGGTGGGCGCCATCGTCACCTGTCCACTGGAGGTTGTCAAGACCCGGCTGCAGTCGTCCCACAGCGGGTTCGAGCTGCGCGTGCCGCCGCTGGCCGCCGAGACGCCCGGCGCCGTCACGTGCCGCAGCGTGGCCGGTGGCCGGCGCTGGCCGCTGCAGCCCGCCGGCGCCGGCCACGAGCACGTGACCCTGCCGCCCGCGGCCGGCGGCGGCGGCAGCGGCGGCCCCGCGCGCGGCTCCGTCGGCCTCATCCGCTGCATCAGGTCAGTGACGCCGACTGCGAAATGAGAGCGATCAGCAGCGGACCGAGTGACACGGCAGAGATATCGGGATTATGTAACAATGTTACCGCTATCCATCTCCAGCTTAATAAAGCAGTATGATACAATGTTTACTGCTATGGTCATTATGTTCAGCATACACACACTTGGTTACGTCGAACGAAACGGTGACAGTTGCGCGGTTCCTTCACTAACGCCAGTGCCGCAAAACAGGCACTGCATGCACGGTATCCGGTGAGCTGGGAGTAGGACGTACGCCATTTTCCGACAGTGCTACGATTGTGTTCGTTTGTTTTCTTGTTTTCTTTTTTTCACAACGCATCAGTCGCTACGATTGTGTGTAAAATGTATTTCAGTGCGTTCAGTGAAGTCGGTCACCTCCAAACCCTTTTACCCACATCAGCAACTTTTGATAACCTGTAGCAATGGTGGTAAATGATAGAAGGCCGAATATCACGTTCTCGGGGGCTGCAGATTGTATGCAAATCGAGCTCTCGTGGAAGTTTCCGAGAAATGTCACGTGTAACCACGTGCCCACCGAGTGGGTCGTCACCAGTGCCGTGGCTGACCGGTCCGTATGGTGGGCGGTGAAAACCCCGGTCAGGTGACCTCCCGGCGCGACCCGCGGAGTCGCGGACCCCTACCTGGCGAGGCCGTCTGGCGTCTGCCGCCGGTGACACCGGTGACGGCCGCAGTGGGGGAGGGGAGGGGAGGGGTGGCACTCCAGGCGACCGGTGCTGTGATGAGACGGGGAGGGAAGGGGAGGGGCGACACTCCAGGGCGACCGTCAATGAGTGGGGATGTGGGGAGGGGCACAGACCGGCTGGTGCGGTAGTTCAGAGGCCCCGCCGGGTGCTGCGATACGATATCAGTTGTTTTTGGTTCAAGTGGTTTGTGATTTGTGGAGTGATGTGCAGATTGCAGGCTTACTCTCGTATCAGGTGCATTGAAAGTTATTCCGCCTCCTGAGAATTATGATTTAGTGTGGTAAACGCTTATGCTGTTGTGCAGCTCTTTCCTTATACGAGTTGTCTGTATTCTCAACTCGCCCTTCAACTTCTGTAAAGCTACTCCCGTGATTGGTTGTTAGTGGATTATGCTGCCGCCTGCCATGTTCATTTGTTATCTTTTTGATCCCCAATTAGCTTGCATTTATGACAGCCATTCGTTGTGTCTACGATTTTCGTTTTGTTGAAATTCGTCGCGTAATATGTAGATCATGTTTCGTCAACACGTTTTGTCACCACTTGCAAGTTGCGAGCCGAGCCTTCGGCCCAATGCCTCTCTGAACGTAACGCCCATGCTTCGGCCGTCTTTCCCTCCTTCATCTTGCCACCCTACATCCATTTTCACCCCGCGATCATTTCCATGACAATATTGTTCCTTCCAGAATCATCATCGAGAATGAGGGTCCGTGCGCGCTCTGGAAGGGCCTCGGGCCGAACCTGCTGGGCGTGGCGCCGTCACGAGCCATCTACTTCTGCTCCTACTCCAACGCCAAGAAGTTCTTCAACCGCCGGCTCAAGCCCGAGTCGCCGCCTGTGCACATGGCGTCAGCGGTATGCGCAGGTGGGTGGCTGGCGTGGCGAGTCTGAGGGTTCGTCAGTGTCTCCACCTCTGGACCGTTTGCGTTTTGTTGTGAACCGAAATCGGTTGTGTATTTACGATCCACAGCCGAAGGAATATTCCTTGTTGGTTATTGTATGATCGTTGATCATTGTATTGGCATTTTTGCATTCTTACACTCTTACGTTCATCCTTGGAGCCCCGATGCCTCAAACCAAATGCATGCCTGTCGCGGTGAATTATTAACCCACGATCTCGGGCACGGTCTCGACTCCACCATCCGGCCGGTAGTTCCGGCCGTCGTACGTCGTACCGTTCCGGCGCTATCGTGCTGCGGCGCCATGAACTGTTCTGGTCGGCCTTCGCTGGGGAGGGGGGCGGGGGTGGCACTGGTGGCCCGGCCTCCGACCCCGTCTCCAGCGGGACAGGCGGAGCCGGGGCGCCGCCGCCCCACCCCCGAACCAGCTGATGGAAAACTACCCCGTCACGCCGCCGCCGCCGGCGCCGCCAAAATGTTCGTCCAGTAGTACCGTCGGGAAGCGGTCGACTATCGGGACTGTTCGGCGCCGGCGGCTCGAACTGGTTATAGCCAGATATGTCTGGTTATGTCCGGAAAGAACTAGGCCGGAGCGTGGTGTGGAACTTGTTTTGTTGAACCAGTCACAGATTGTTTGGGCTACAGGCGAGCTCAGAAGTCCATTTCATTTAAAACCGAAGTGGGTGCCGGAAACGTGTGCCTCTGTCGCAGATTCTCAAGCACCTCTCGAACTGAAGTGATTTTACAGGAGAAAAACTAATAATTCGCTGTCTCCCTATGGCTAAGGATACTCTGTTCTGTTGCATATTTTTGCAGGTTTTACGTTGAAACTCGAATGATAAGCTCTCATCGACTCCATTCCCAGCATGCTGATCAGAGCCCTCCAATAGCACTGTAGTAGAGCGACAGATCTGGAATCGAGCTTCGCTCTGTGTGCTGCAGTTTCCCCTTATCCCTGCGCTCAATCAGCCGACGAGTTGGGAGCTGCAGTATGCTACACTTTGTTTACCAGGCATTCATCCAGTTGTCTAATCGTTAGCCCTGCCACAGCCGGCACGGCAAAAACGCGTCTGCACAAAACGCGTTTGCACGTCGTCGGAAATTGTGGCTCCTTATTATGTTTGCCGACTAGAGACGAACTTTTTGAGTGCGATTTATGTGGATGTATGGGTAACCGACCGCCGTTTAACCGACCGCCGTTCCATTGACATCAAGGTTTGCCGACATGCCAATGTGTAGAACACTATTCGCCACATTTTTGAAGTGATCCAGTGAACGTAGATGACTCGGAAAGTTCTGACGATGTAGGTGCTGTGCTCATGTCTTCAGAGCGCTAAATACCTAATTTGTCAAGCTATTTGAAAGTGTCATAATCACTGTAAACACTTCCGTATGTAGGCATATATAAATTGTATGAACTCGGCTGTGTTCGCTTCTGAAGATCGGCTCTCGCATGGTTCTGGACTACTATGGACGTCAAACCCCTTGAGACCCCACTTTTTTGCGATAATTTTTAAATGCGTCAATATTCGTTGACAATATTCTGGCAATGTGTGTTTCAGAACCTGCCGAAACTTTTATTACTAAGGTATTTTGACGCCAAACGATTATGGAAGGTACTTCTCATTCACTCGTAATGCTAAGGTCAATTCAGGCCCGGGCAGAGGCTTGCGCTCGGCCACACTCGAGCCTCGCCACCAGCGCCATCTGCTCTAAATGCCATCTACCAGCGCCCGCTACAGCTACCAGCTACCGCCCACCATCAAGCCTGAATGGAGCGAGAGACGCGAGTGACCGGTCGCCGGGCAAGGAGCGCCGGAGGGGTAGGGCGGAGCTTAGCGCTGACGTCATTACGTGGCTCCGCCCCATGAGCGCGTAGCCTCTACCCAAACAGCAGATTCGTTCCGTGAAATTTAACATTACGAGTGAATGAGAAGTACCTTTCATAATCGTTTGGCGTCAAAATACCTTAGTAATAAAAGTTTCGGCAGGTTCTGAAACACACATTGCCAGAATATTGTCAACGAGAGTTGACGCATTTAAAAATTATCGCAAAAAAGTGGGGTCTCAAGGGGTTTGACGTCCATAGTAGACAGTGGGCATCTATACTGAAGCACCATACCTCTGTAAGATATTAAACTCGCAACTTCTTCGTCATTCTGACGGCGAGTGTCTGTCAATGGTCCACCACTCTTCATATGTTCTTTTCATGTCTCCTACCCTCCCCAGCAGAGACAGCCCTCCTCGAGGACTCGGCCCATTAGGCTGTCAGGAGTCGGGCCCGGCCCCAGTCGGCAGTTCCGTGTGGTTCGCCCGCCTCCCTCGGCAGGGCCGCGGCACCTGTGTGCGTGCATCACCCACCCGTGACCTCTGGGTCGCCTGGAGGTCACACAGGGCCGGAGAGCGGGGGGGGGCGGTATCTCTGAACTGCGCGGCGGTACTGGCTGGCAGGGGCTCGCCCCCCCCCCCCGCCCCGGTCCCATCCTCTGCCGCCCCGCCCCCGCCGGCGGCCGGCAGTTGACGGCCAAGGTCACCACAGACACTGCCCCGGGCCGCGGTGGGCGGGCTGCGGCTCCGGCTCCGGCCGGCCCGCCGTCTGTCAGCAGTGCCGTCACAGAAACGGCACGTGTGGCCTGGGTGGGGTCGGGCCAGCTGACTCTCTGTGATAGCGGGCACTTACTCGCTACTCAAGTCACTGCTTACCTGCATTTGTTCTGCATTCGCTTTATTTTACGCTTGTTTTGTTTCCTTCAATTCTCACATCCGTGTGTTCTAACCATATTTTACATATCAAAACTGTATTCTCGGCCGCTGTATGTGTTCGAGGGGCTCGTCAGTCATAACCCACCCGACTGACCCCTACACTCTGTGCATCGGACGTCGAGCCGCGGGTGTGGCGGGCCCCCATGTGCGGCTATCCCGCCCCAAACACCGCCCGCGTCGCTTGCTTCATGTCGCGTCCCTGAACACAGTCCACTTGTCAGCAGGTCGGTCGACCGTTTATTATTGATAGTGTGCGACTAATCTTAGCGAAAGGGACAACGGTGCAGGGGGCGGTCAGCACCGGTTTGTGTAGGCTTACGAGGGGCGCGGCTCCTCTGGGTTGGTTTTATCTGACATCACTCTGTTGTCACTGATAAAATGAGCGGCATTTGACAGATGTCGCTTCCCCATTGTGGATTTGATGTGACAACAAATGTGTTCGCTATTCGAACACCACACCTCAGCCGCAGTCTATACCCGCCCCCGTCCTGTGCGTCCTTTCCACTGCATACCACACAGCTATAGTTCGTTTGGTTTAGTCCTCCGAGGAGCTGCATTCTAAGTTGTGGTTACGAGTTCGAATTATTTCTTGCAGGGTTTTGTTCGTGTACGGCAACGAACCCGATCTGGTTCATCAAGACGCGGCTACAGCTGGACCAGCACAAATTCGGCCAGAGACTTCGGGTCATGGACTGCATCCGCCGAGTCTACAGGGAAAAGGTCAGACCACTACACCGGCCGCAACCGACATGTTGATATGTGCGGGCATATGATGTTTATTGACATTCGATGACACCACAAAAGCAAATATTCTGAAGCAAATATTCTGTGTTGTCATCGAATGTGAATAAATATAATGTCTGACACGATGCAAGTGCAGGCATAGGTATGTCAGGCTAGGCTTGCTCCCAGGCAGAAGTTATATCATTGGAAGTTGGAACTGATTTGAAGCGGAAAGGTCTGGCGAAAGAACAAAGCCATGTTTTCGTTGTCGGCGGGCATTACGCGATTTCTTCGTCGGAAAAATTGCCAGTTTCGACAGTTGTTGACAGGTTTGTTGAAAACAGAAAATGTCAGCGAGCGATACAGATGATTGTTTCAATTCAATGCGGTGCTAAGGTGCATATCCATATTCCATACACAGGATCGGAATGTCACTGGGTAATAATGAGATGGATGCTTGCCGCAGTGATTTATTTAAGCCCGATGTTTACTTCGTGCAGAGCCTGTTGAACTGGCGTGGAGGGTCCCACGCTTGACGTGCTTATCGATCATTGTTTGGTTGTGGCGCAGAAAACCGTGCATTTCAAGGTTGTTCGAAACATCGGTGCTTGTTCAGGCAGAGTCAATTGAGGACCAGTTCTGTCTCAACGGAATGTTTGCTAGTCTGCTAGTTGGCTGCGGTTGTGTGCAGTGTTGATTTCTGACTGTCGTATATTTTCTTAGTCTCGGTAACTTCAAGGTCTTCTCAAATAATGAAGTCTGAGCAGTCCTTGGTTACAAAAACAAGGTTTCGTCTGTTGCATACTCACATATGAGAATACACAGTTCGCGTGACTATCGGAGATTGCCGAATCGTGGTGAGAGTGAAAAAAGCAAAACAGACGCGAGAAAACTGACTAAGCTGGTAAATTTATTAAATAGGAGTGTGGTGGCGGAACACTGAAAAAGTGGTCTCGGCATGATCATGACAGCAAACAACCGGAAACTCACAGCTACATGTTTGTTCAACAGGGTGTGCGGGGTTTCTACAAGGGAATATCGGCTTCCTACTTCGGCATCACGGAGACCATGATCCACTTCGTCATCTACGAGCACGTCAAGCGGCAACTGCAGGCGTACAGGTGCGTCAGCGGCCAGTGACGTCACTGGCATACCAGTGACGTCACGCCACACACTGTCCGTGGGCCGTGAGGCTGACGGGCGGCGGTGGCTATTTCGGGCAGCGTTAGTGGGGAATGCTGAGGCGGTAGGCTGTCTAGTGGCTGCGTCATCGCTAAGACGCTTTTGATTGACGAGAGGAGTGTCAGTTAGTGTGAGTATGGGTCACCGGTTAGATGTGTTGATGGCCATGAGCCATGTTCTTGCTTTGTTTTGACCCTTGACGGGGTCGCTGTGGTACGGGCTGTTAGATGACTCGGTGAATTGAGCGCTCATTTTCTCAGGAGCAGACTCGCCGGAATGTCTGCTGACGGGGGCGATACTTCCAAATGCAGAGCTGCCGCACCTCACGCAGCTGTTGCCTAGTGAATGTGAAATATGATTATTTTCGCCACTTTTCAGCGAGCCTATTTTGTCATTTATTGTAGACTCTCTCCACCCCGTTCTGTAGTGTCCTTCTGAAGTTTACATTGAAGTGTCTTCTCCGCGGTTCTGACACAGCCCTCGCCGTCCCCAGGCACGCGGCCGATCCCAACAAGACCAGCTGGGACTTTGTCGAGTTCATGGTGGCCGGCGCCGTCTCCAAAACGGTCGCCTCATCGGTGGCCTATCCCCACGGTGAGTGCTATTCTAGCTTTACGGTGAAGGCTGCGACAAGCACGGAGTAAAGTATTGACTGTCGAACGTGTGACCCGTCTCCGCAGTGTTTGTGTCGTCGCTGAACCCGCGCCCCAGTGGCGGTCTCAGCCAACTTCGCCCTAGTGTGGGGGGGGGGGGGGGCATATGTTACCACCCACCTCTAACTCAAAAACTAAGAGGGCTAGAAAGACGCGGTAAAAGGCAGTCGATAGCTCTCAATGCGTACGTTTGAAAGTATTTCAGTCATTTTTCACCTTAGAGCAATATTGGGGTCACCAGAGGTCATCAAAGGTCAAAATTTGCCAATTGTCATTATATTTTTCAGAAAACATGCCGCTATCTCAGGAACTATGGTAGCTAGAAAAACGCATTAAACAGCAAACGATAGCTTTGGAACTCTTCTTTTGAAAAGGTCATTATCAATATTGACCTCAGGTAAACGGTTTAGCCTCCAGAGGGCAAAAACTCCAAAAATAGCTGTTTTTACGAAAAGTGTTTTTCGACAATAACTTTCGACTACAAAAAGCCACGACATTTCTATTGCCAGAATCGTGTTCCCCTCGCCGAGACGCGTCGAATGAACTATAATTTGACCTTGAAAGGTCAACTTGAAAATTTGACCTCAGGTCAAGGTCATGACCTTACCGGAAAAGGTCATGTTGCATATCAGTCGATGCGTCTCAACAAGACAAACACAATGAGACCATCCCCAGCGTTATATCTCTTTCCAATCGCGAGTTATTGGCAAAGAACTGTTTGTAGCCTCAAGTGACCTCGGATGACCTGTCTAGAGGCTATCAGCAAAAATGACACCTTGGTCATCACGAGTGGACTAAATCATTGTGATTCTGAAATATTTGGACTGTTCCGATGCGTACACACGGATCTAGAGGCATTTTCATTTTTCTCCATTGACTTGTAATGCAAAGGTCACGCCACTGACCTGACCTTAGGTCACCGATATAAAAAAATCCGAGATATACAAATTGTAGGCGCCCATAACAGCATGCAATCCACGAAGTTTAAAACCTTTCTGACAAACACTGCAGGCTGGACATGATTGCAAACTTTTTTTAGGCTTGGTCAGTTAACTTGACCTGGTGACCTGACCTGACATGACCTGGGGTCAAAAATTTCACACATTGTCCAAAATCGATGTACCAAAAGCTACCCCAAGTGGCGCGGCGCTACGCGCCGCGGTTTTTTATTCACACGCAAAAAACGCGACAGGGTGGTAACATATGCCCCCCCCCCCCACTGGGGCGAAGGTTAAATGTGAATGAAATACGAACGATTTCCTACTATCATGGGCGTTACACTGCGTGATATATCACCAGCTGTCGTGCAAAAAAGAATTACGGTACGCGAATTCGGAAGTTGAAGTGTTGTGTCGCTCCTTTACATTATGGGCTTGTATGTGGTTGTAGCCTGTAGGTTTACAACTGACTGTGGCCCATGAGTCTGGTGTTTCTCTGTGATTCATTCCCGTTGAGGGGCTGGTTTGCCCAGAAAACGACGCTCTCTCGAGGTGTTTATTTACTCGTGTTTGGCGGTTTTGTACACACCATGAGTCGTGTCTAGCTGTGCCCGCTCTCTCTGTACTATTACACCGACCGCACAGCTGCTGTTCAAAGTCACTGAGTGCGGTAGCCTTGACCGACGCTCCACAAACAAACGGAATTTCACCGGCTTTTTCGACCGCAGACGATGGAAAGTCTCCATTCTGGTATGTTTACAAACGACGAATGTGTTGGCTGGGTCGTCTCTCGTTATGTTATTGGATGGAGTGAGGGGATATCAAACTCTGCTCCCAGTTTTAGCTACATCTTGCTTTCACAGTCTGGCTATCATATCCACCACAGTATCTTGCAATGCGGGTACCGTTGCCCGTTGGCAACTTCTGCTTCCTGTTTTCTGTAGTCGAAACCCTTGGTATGGAGTGGCGCTGAGAACTTTGCCTGACTGTGAACGGTTGAATGTCTTATCCATTACTGACCGTCACGAACTTTAACCCGCGCGGGGCTGGGGTCTCCAGCCGAACGCGCGGGGCTGGGGGGGGGGTAAATTTTACCCCCCTGTTATCTCCCGAACTAATGGTCCGATTTGGAAAATTCAAACGCCAATCGAAAGCTCTCATCACGAACTACTAAAAACATGTACTTAATTTAAAGTTTGAGGTCAAGGTCAAGGTCAGGTCAAGGGTACAAATTGCAAGTTTCTACAGTATCGGCCTTGCACCGTAGTTGCCGAATAATGGAGTCATGGACTGAGACTGATCGCCCAAAACGTGTTCTTAGGCTACCAAGACAATATTCGTTGCATACAATATCATTCAGAGGTCAAGGTCAAGGTCAGGTCAGGTCAGGTCACCAAAAAACAAAATATAGAAAAGGGCATGTGCGACACATGTTTTATGGGTCATTTTACTCATAGAATTCAATAGGCACACTCAATAAGTGATATGGACCACCTCTGGATGAATTTCAGGTCGAGGTCAGGTCAAGGTCAGGTCAAGTGAGGTCAAATTTTGAAGTTGGTTGTTAAGGCCTAAAAAGGTGTCTATCTGATGCAGTTTTTCACGGCGAATCGAATGGTGCTATTTTTGTTTCCGTACGAGGTCTAGAACTTCCAAAAAAGTCATTTTTCAAAAAAATTGTGTGTCGTGACGTCATAAAATTTTAAATAACTCCCACATTTTTGAACCGATTCTTCCAAAATTTGGTATGTAGGTGCACATAGACCACTTCTCTGACATATATTCCGTTTTTTTTCGATAGACTCAAAATTTTGGATTTTATAATGATTTTCCCAAAAAAGTCAGTTTTTTGAAAAAATTTAGGCCAAAATCCAAAATTTTCAAAAAACCGAGACAGCCATTTGATAGACAAAGTAAAATTACGTATAACCTTTTTTGTTACGTCTTGATTCCTTTAAAAATGAAGATGTTAGCGGCGTTTGAACTTTTGCCGTTTTTGAGGCGAAAATGGCGAACATGACGTCACTAAAACGTCAATTTCTCAAAAATTTTCCGACGGATTTCGCTCAAATTTTCAGGGAACGTGTCAAATTGATGTAAGAAAAGGTACTGAAAGTTTGGCGGCGCTGCGCGCCGCCGTTTTTGAGATATCGCAAAAATTCGCGAGGGGGGGTAAAATTTACCCCCCCCCCCCCAGCCCCGCGCGGGTTAACACACTGTCGTCGACAGTTGGTGGAACCGATCACTCTGGGTGGGTCGGTTACAGCTGAATATCAGTACCCCGTCCCATGGATTTTACAGACAAACGTGGCTGCATCTCAAGTGGAAGTGACATTTCAGTTCGCGTTTCGTTTGCTGGTCTGTGCTAATCTGCTATTGCCCTGCGTTAGAATCGACGGCATATGGTTAAAAATAAAATTGAACGGCTGCCATCACACAAGCATTCACAACTTTTGGCATCATCGTCGACATAGTATTGAGACAGATTTGTTGACAACATAACGTCATTTACGGACGGTTTCGGTCAGTGACCTCCCCACTGGCCGTGTCAGTCCCCATTCCCGGCACCCAGAGAGGGTCGACTGGTCAGCGCAGCTCGGCCCGGACCGGGCCGTCGTTCTCCGGGCGAGGTGCCAGCCCCGGCCGGCCGTCGGGCGCCGTCCCCACCAGATGCCAGATTCGAAACGTAGCGTTGAATAATTGAGCATGAGCAATGGTATAACTCTAATACCTTATAGACTAATGAGCATGGAGGATCTATCAGAAGCACGAAGGAGATTACTCGCTTAGGTGCCGGCTCCATAAAGACCGACCTTGTAATTAGCGCGAGGGTGTGTAGTCCAAAACACCGGCTGCAATCCTTGTTTTCGCCACTGTCGATATTCGTGCGTCGACGGTGGCGCACCTGACACGTTCTTGGCGCATTTGCCGCGCGCTGTGGCCAGCTGTCCCTCCCCCTCCGCAGGGGGGGGGGGGGATGAAGGGGTGATGTATAACGGCCCGCCGTCTGTGGCGGCCCGGTCGACTCCTTGGAGGTCACTGCCAAAATGGAGCCCGAGGCGGCGTCAGTTTTCGCTTCTGTCAGGGCCGCACGGCCTCAGGGACCATATCTTAGACAACTAGTGAACGTTGTTTTACTTGGCAACCCATTGTGCGTGCATTTCTCGTGTGCATTTTTAAGTCGCGTTGTTTCTTCTCGTTGGTGATGACCTCTGTTGCATCATCCGTCGGGTTTTGCCGCTGTGTCATGCGTGTGTGAGTTGTGTGTGGACCAAATGTAGTTTGGACTCGACCTGTTGTCCATAACAAAAACTGTATGGTTCCTGGCGGACGAAGTTCTATTTAGACGACGTAGCCGAGTTGGTGTCTCACGCTCATTTTTTACCTGACCCCTTCCCAGCTCCAGCCTTTGAAGTTTGAACTGACCCGAATCGTCCCCATAGAGGTGCCCATGGCCCGTGAAATTACCCCCGCTCTGAATTGATTCGTTTCTCTCTGGCTGTTTGCAGAGGTGGCGCGCACTCGTCTGCGCGAGGAGGGCACCAAGTACCGCCGCTTCTTCCAGACGCTGCGTGTGGTGTGGGCCGAGGAGGGCTACCGGGGCCTGTACCGCGGCCTGGGCACGCAGCTGGTCAGACAGATCCCCAACACGGCCATCATGATGTCCACGTACGAGACTGTGGTCTACGTGCTCAGGTGAGAGGGGGAGATAGTTGGTGGACGGGCGACGACGGAAATTGAAGGTGTGGGAGAGAGTGTATATGTACGTGAAAGAGACGTGTTTATATAGGAGCAAAAGGGTAAGAAAGGTTAGATGGAGGTGAGAAGGAGAGAGGGGCGGCGATAATGGGGGAATGAGACCGGGCTCTGAACTAACCAACAGCATGTTTCGATCTGATAATCCGTAGTGTCGCCCTCTCGTTTATGTGTCGTGCTACCGGGTGCCAGCTCGGACTGACCCCTCCTTCTGTGTCGGTCGCAGGGACCGCTCTGACGAGCAGGACAGTCTCTACGAGGACGACGAGCCGACTGACGTGCAGACCGGCTCGCGCGTGAGCTACGCGTAGCGCCGCAGCCGGCACTGCGCGCAACTCGAGCTTGAGCCGCTGGCCGCCACGCGGCGCTGCGAGCGTTCCCGTGCACAGATCGCTGCCTAGCGGCGGGTCTGTCGTTTTAACTGCGTCTGACGACCGCCTGGCGGCGCCACCGTCGAGCGCGACTGGCTAGTCTGGCCCAAGTGGTCACTGTCCTGTGATAGAGGTGGATCTGCGACCGGGGCGGCCCGGCCGGACGCCGGACGGTGCCGGGCCGCCGGTCGTCTGTAGCTGTGCACGTGCAATGAGCTGTGGGGTTACGTCGTGATGAGTTGCTGGCGGGTGACCGTCTGCCGGGGGCGGGGAATTATGTAAAGCGCCCTGCTGGCTCGGTCGGCTGCGGGAGGCGTGCGTTTGTGGACGGGTGCCTGGTGACGGATGCTCTTTGCGTGTTTTTGGAGTCTTTTGTAACAGAAGATTAAATACATATTGGAATATAATGCTAGATTTGTGTGAGATCTTTGGTGCTTTATCAGCTTGGGGGACGATACACGTATTTCTTGACGGTCCCGTATGATAATAGCAAAGCTCCGTTAAACTGGAATTACGTATGGGTTGTCACTATTATCAGCCGTGTCTCATGCATGCTTCAGAATATTGCGGCACCGGGTGAGCCGCTAGGCACTATATGTTGAGTGCCGACCTAATGACTGATAACAGAACGCTCGGCACTTATTCAGAGGCGCAGGGCTACACTGCCAAACCCGTCCAATGGACCGATACAACTCGGCTGCAACTGAGTGAAGAGGCATGATAAGTGATAGCTGGCTGCCTAATGTTTATACGACGTTCATCAGGGCCTCCTCTAACATACCCACTGGGTGGGCAAATGCCCACCCAGTCACCACAATTGCCCACCCAGTGGCGTCGATTTGCCCACCCAGAAGCAAATGCAAAAATCCGGATCCGGCCGGACGTCCGGTACCTACTACCTACCTTGCTGGTCTTAAGCAAACTGGATGCTGTTTGAAGGCAAAAAAAAAGTTTTCTGGTTGCCCGATATTCAGGGGCGTAGCCAGGATTTCCTCAAGGAGGGGGCCAAACGCACAGGGGCCCAAAATAACCCCCTCAAAATCCAAAAAGCCATCCGGTTGCATCCAATATTTTTTGGAGGGGGCCCAAATAAATAGAAAAATATTTATTAACAAAAAATATTAGAACTGAGGGGGTAAGCAGTCCATGGGCCCTGTTAGATAGGCCCACGAATAGCTTCATAGAGTCGCCAGTCGGTTTTGAGGGCGGTCTGAGGGCCCGTAGGTCGGATGATGGTTCTTCAGACCGTCACAGGCCCCTACGGCGCATGAGAGCCTCGTAAGCCATCTGAGGGTCATATAAGCCGCATAAGGGCTACTAAGACCGACAAAAGCCCTCCTTGCACTTGCAGATGCCCAGTCATGCCGACGGAGGGCTCTCTCAGGCAAACTAAGGACCCGTTCAGGGCATTTGAGGGCTTCCTCAAACTGATAGGGGCCCCTCAGATCGACAGTGGATCCGATCCAGGCTCCCTCAAACCGATATAGGGTCAGACCAACAGTCGGAACGCATTGATTCTGTTTACACACCGTTGGACCAAAGTTGGACCCATCCCATACAACTGGCCCACTGGTTTCAATAGGGCCCCAAGGCTCTAAAATCGGGGCTCTCTTGGCCAAAGTATAACTACTCAGCTGTGTCAAAGGATCTGCCGCAGGGGCCTTTGCGTCGCCAAGGGCCCACTGTGTCAGCCAGGGGCCCCTATAGAATAAGGACCCCTGGCTTCCAGGGGGGGCATGGTCCCTTTGGCCCCCTCCTTGGCTATGCCACTGCAGGTGACAAGCGTTCTTCCAGGCGACCAGGGGGCAGGGGCCAGGCGACCAGGCCCCCAGGCGACCAGGGGCCCCCAGGCGACTAGCCCCCAAGCGACCGGGGCCCTCTAGGCGACCAGGGGCCCCAGGAAACCGGGGGTCATCGGATGAGTGCAGGGGCCCATTGGGTCATCAGAGGGCCACAGAAATGAAACTTCGATATCAATTTTCTTCCGAGTAAAAGACGTTTTATCCAGTGTTTGAAAAAAAATATCCCGGGGCCTGAGTGGCTCCCCCATGGCGCGTTTTGCGCTCAAGGGAGGGGGCCATTGCCCCCTCCCCCTTAGCTACGCCCCTGCCGATATTGTTATTCATGGACAAAGCCAGCTAAATTTCTAAATACGGCTGAGCTAAACAAATAAGCAAGAATCATTACCGGTTCGGGTAGCCTTTACTACAATGTATTATGTTAGTTAGCCCTCGCCCGGTGAGGGGGGCTGATGCACCCCCCTAAGGTTTTTCACAAATAACGTAAAAACGGCGGCGCTCAAATTTGGCATACCCTCTGGGGCAACCTTTTGGCACTTGTCCTGAAAATTGCAGGTCTCTAGTCTTTTCAGGTCAGGTCACCAGGTCACAAACCCCGTACAAGGTCAGGGGAAAATTGGACTAGTTTAGCGGCAACCGAATGCCAGAGTTTTTCGTTGATAGCGTGAGTTCTATAGCACGTAGCGCTACCAAATTTAAGACACGACTTGGAGCATCTGTTTGTCACTTGGCCTTGGAGTTTTAGGTTCCAGTGACCCGAGGCCGGGTCACAAGGTCACAAAAACTGGTACATTGTCAAAATAGCAAGAATACCGAATAAGAATACCTACCACGCAGTTTGCGGAGGGCTGTATGTACATGTAACTCTGGAACGAATCGCTCGAGCATCGCTAACCATAAAACATACGACAAACGTTAACTTTGCAAACTATCATCTTATTTCCAATAACGGCACTGCTTATTTCGCCTCACCCCCGCCCCCCCCCCCCGGTAACAGGTTTTGAAATTGGTTGAACCCCAAAACAGTGGCTGGATTCGCCCTTGGGCAGGGGAGTAGCGAAAATTTTGCCCACCCAGTGAAAAATCCTTAGAGGAGGCCCTGACGTTCATCAAACAGATAAAACAGCCCGTGGTCCCCTTTCGCTCACTGTTATTCATTAAAAGTGAGTCTTTTGTGCCATGTAACCTTAGTGATTTTATTTGCGTTCAGCCTGTGCCAGGTAGATATGGAAGAGCTCCTAAGCCAGCCTTTCCTACATTCATGGTAACGTGCTGCGGTACGCCTTTTTGTTCAGTGCGGTCCCTCGTGACTGTGACAGACGCAAACAGCTGGCGCTGTGTGGTCTCATGTGAGGTTACTAAACGGTGTCAGATCCCAGTGGCTGAGCCACAGTTGATCTATCCCGTGAGCTTAGTTCGTCATCAATCACGCACCTCGGTGAGAACTTCGGCAGACGCCAGGCTGAATCGCCTCCACCCCCATCAGCTTTGGAAGCTGTAAATCACATTACGAATGCTAAATCGAACATTGAGCGGCTCTTCAGCATGGTTTCGACGCCTGTTTAGTGCCATGATATTGTATTCACCGTTGATTGATCAATGATCAATAGCCAAAAATTTTTGCTGCGTCAGATTGAAATGCGGATGAGTCGACAAGACAAAACCCGCCAAATTTGGCAGCAATTTTTATCTACGTTACCATGGCAACGATCATGCTGTGAATATACAATTGTGGCTGCGGGGTTGTTGAACTGACGCACTTTGCAATGCAATATTACAGGGTTCATTGACCGCAGTCAACAGTTTGTCAACAGTGATCTTCATATTTATTTATTCGTGGAATGCGTGGAATGGTGGTCAAAGAACTATGTATTACTATTACGACCTTGATTGTTGGGTATTTCACAAGAATTCCGCTTCTGCTGCGTCGGCGAGACAAGCAACAGTCAGGTGAGTAACTGAAGCTGAGCGTTTCTCATCGTGATTCAAAATTTAAATTCATAATCCTACGAGTTGTGCGTACCATCGGAAGGTTCATATTTTGCAACTTTGGATATTACAAGCTGCTTCAAAGGCTTCGTGCCGGTCAAGATTCTTACAGATCAAGGTTACAGATAAGGTTGGGACGCGAGTCACGTGCGTGCCTGTATTGGATTTCTGGCTTCGCTGGGATCGACAGACGGCTACAACTGTAGGTATAGGGCCTTGGATTGAGACTAGGCATTTTTCGGTAGGTACGTATCTACATACCAATTATGTAGATGTAGATGCACTTAATGCACAGACCTAACGACAATATAGACCATCGTTAATGTTATGGCAGAAATTGAAAGTGCTGGATCGACCGCTGATGAACCAATACTGAGGCGGGCCTTGTACTGAGGCAGTCTCAGCCTCCGGTCCCTTAGATCAGCTCATGGGTGGAGTTCGGCGACCAAGAAGTTTATAAACCAACGGGTCTGCGGCGTGCTTGTGTGTGGAGTGTTGGCTGATTCATCTTCGGTGTAGCTTGTAGGTAACTATGACTCACCTCTAAACGAAGCCGAATCACTCGCGACGGGCGACGTCCCAGCGCTTTCAGTCCTCGCTCCCTCCGACGTCCCGGAATCCTCTCCTTCCAGGTAACCCGTTCCTCCTCGCTGTTCCTCGTCCTTCCGTGCGCCGCTGCCGTTCCCCAATCGGTGCGCTGCGCCGCGCCGGTCGCGCCGCGCCCCCTGTGCCGGCGGCACTCAGTCGACGGGGGCCGGCGCCGGCGTCGACACCGGCAGCGCGCGCGCACCGGACCGGCGGCGGCGGCCATGGAGCTGCGCTCGGCCGCCATCCGCCGTCTGCTGGTCGTGTTTGTGTGCGGCGTGTTCGGCTACGTCGTGTTCTACAACTCGCTGCTGATGGATCGGCGCGGCTCGCTACTGCACGGTGAGGCAGCCGGCCGGGTCAGGGAACGGCGGTCCGGCGTCCACCACCCCCAACCATCCTTTCTATTATTCGGTCCCTGGGACATGTCACGGATCACGCTCTTATATTTTGGTCCGCCTAAAGAAAACTTTTTTGGATAGTTTTGTTTTCATGGGGATGAGTCAAACAGATTGGATAAACGCAGGCTGCGATGAGGCCACAAATCGATGAATATGACGCAGAAGGCGAATAAGTGGCTGCGACGCCAGCGTTGATGCCTGAGCGAGAAAAAGGGATACGCTACACACAAAAGATGACCATTTCGAATATATGCAATTGACATTCGTGTCTAAAGCAGCAATGGTGTGAGTATGAGTCAGCGAATTGCGAAGCATGTAAATTAGTTTAAACGTCAACGACCTATAATTCCCGGAGGCGGGACAGAAGAATGTTTGCGAAGACTTATTTATTGATAGACAATGCAGCGCCAAAGTTGGCGAGCTCAGAGCTGCGATGTTCACTTTCATTATGTCTCGTGAGTGGTATGTTGCCTAGGCTAAGCCTATTTTTGCGAGCCAGCTCGCAACGGGGAAGAACATGGGAGCACTCGCACAGTCGTTCTATTTACAAAGCAGATATGTATGCATTTCCCAAACAGTCGTAATGATCACCGATCCGTTATGCATTCAATTACAAAGTGATAACATTGCTTGTT